GGTTAGAGCTTCATCCTTTTTCCCATTCAGACATTGCCTGCAGGTGAATATATAACTTATAGCCAAGGTAGAATAATAGGAATTAAAAAGACAAACCAAATCAAGCCAGCAGGAAACAACTCCAGCTAGTTCACAAGACATCTGCAAGTGCAGGCATGGAAGGAAAAAGAGCCTTGGTTCTTGAGCTGGTAAAATTGCAGAATATACAAATCCCTTCTCAGTGATTTATTTGGGGTTTTGTTTTGGTTTTTTTCTCAACTACAATGGAATTTTTTTAAAATAATGTTTTGATGATATCCCTATTTTCTCAGAGGAAGAAAAGCAAGGCTGGGAAAAGTAGACTTTGAATGGCAACAGTGACATTTTGTTTGAGCCTCTCAAACCCCTTCCTTTTATGTTTTTATCTTTTAAGGTGCTGTTGGAGTCACGTCTCAGCTTGCTCTCACTGAAGATAATTTCCTGAACTGCAAAAGATTTGCTCAGCCTCATTTCAGGATCAAGGGTTCAAATCAAGAAGTATATTTGTAAAATTCCACCATCCCCTCCTAGACGCTGGTGGGGTTTAGATTTTTATTTTTGGATACGTTTTTGTTTTTCTGAGAGGACAGGAAGCAAATGCTAACAGAGAAGTTTCCACATTAAACATCCACTTTGCACAACACTCAGGAAACTCAAAGTCGAGGCTCCAGAGAGCTGCTAACTTTGCCCTCTGGTGGGGAGGTGGGACATTTTATTCACAAGTCACAACGTGTACAGCAGTAAGAATAAAAAGCTGCTTCAGGTACCAATGAGCACGTTCAGCACCCCTGCAGGAAAAGCTTTCTGTATGGATTGACCACTTCATTTCCCTTGCAACCAAATTACACCTTAGTATGAGCTGGATTACTGTGGCTCATGGGAATCTAACACACCACACTCCTAACTTTTTAAAATCCTGTTTGTAAACGTAGAGAGGATCTTAGGGCAGATTTCAGTAGTGCTGTTTTCTAGCTGGAGATTTCACCAAACTGTCAGGACTGTGCAAGAATCAGCACTGTGCTGGAGAAGAGCAGCACATACAGCACTTAGAGTGGTGCTCCTGCCAGCATCCAAGAGCTATTTATAGTGTAGATTTAGCTAGAACTGAAATTTCAGGATTGAAATGCACAGGTTGAGTAATCACTGAGGGCTGGTTACTTCTCAAATATTTAGAGAAAATGAGTTTTCTATGATCAAACTATTATCAGGCCGAGCATTATTTTAATTCATCAACTGTTGTCATCATCCCAGTGAAAATGGAACAGGGAAAAAAAAAATAGAGGCAGCCATCTGGAAAACACACCCGTGTGTTAAGGAAATTTAAAAATTTAGCTCATTGGTACGTGGAGAGAGAAGCTAATATGTTCCAGATGGCTAGCAGAGTCAGAGGCAGGCAAAAAACCCAGCCACATCCCAGGCAGCAGAAGTTCAGCCCACAGGATCCAAGCCATCTGCTCCTGGATTGCTGCTTTTGTCACCTGAAGAATGGCCAAACACAAAAGCAAATGGTGTTTGCCAGTAGAAGGCACATACAGCACCTTCAAAAAATCAAATGCAGTGGTGAGCATGTAAGTAAGGGAAAAAAAACACATTTTCACAAAAATAACCCTGCTAGGGTGAGTTTCCTTGGGTTTATTATTCATTCCAGCAACACCTCTGTCCTCTGACAGAACACAGTCATGCAGCTGACTTCAGGCCACCACAAACCACCACCAAAGCCCAGAAGAGACTCTCTGCCCCCAAACAAGCAGCCGTGCCACGCTCCTGGCTTCCTCAGACCCAGAAACCTGAGCAGATCAGCCCCACTGTTAAACTCCCAAAGGATTTCACAGCATACTTAAACCACAAGAAGTTCTGAGTTTTGTTCAAATGATAGACACACTTATAAAATAAAAATTCTGGATGTTTTGCAGTATTCTGGAGCCCAGAGCTGTGAATCTGACTGATTTCTGTTATGGGAGCTAGGAACAGTTGGTGTTCCTCCTGACCCAAGCAGTTAAATCACTATTCAGGGTAGGGAAAATACTTCAAACAGCTGCTTGGCCAACTCTGAAGTACCTCAGGCTAGAAAAAAAAAGTGTTTCTACATTTTATTGGCAAGCCAGCATCAAACTTCTCTGTTCCTGCAGAAGCTTGCAGAAATGTTCACCAGAAGTTCACAGTTTAAAAGCAAATTCTTGACACAAGAGAGTTTGGAAAGTGCCTCGGAGCTCACAACCACAACACTGCCTCCTGCTTCTCCTAAATCACCTACTTCTTGGTAAAAGCATTGTGGAATAGTGAACTTCACTACAGAAAGCTACAGAAACAGGGAGAAGTTGAGAAGCTGACCCAGGAAGGAGGCACCTTGGTAGAGCAGCAGGGCAAAGGCAGTCACAGCCCTGAGCACACCACCTCAGGTCAAATCTGGAGACCTCCAACACCTGAGCAGCCCTATTTTAGAGGATGTAACTTCCCAAACTCAGCCAGTAGACCACAGAACTTTCAAGTCCTTGTTAACCACCCATCAGGTTCTCTTCTCAAGCAGCCATGTAGCAAATCACAGTCTCAACACCAACCTTGTTGGTCCTCCAAACTGCTCCTCCATTCTCCTGCCACCACAACACTGATGTCATTACAACAATCCACACCAACGTCTCCTTCTGAATGATAGCAGAGTTTATTTTCATATTTTGTACAGCCAGCATTGGTCTCCAAGAATAAGTTATAATCTTACATAAGTGAGTCCCCCCCCCCCCACAACCCACCCTTTAAGGAATGTTCAGCTTTCAGCATTTTTAATTGAAAGGGAAATTATTTCTAGGGTAAGATGTAGTCCCAAGAATGGAAAACAATCTTCATTTGTGAATAAAACTCCTTGGAGGTTCTCAGGGTTTACTTGCATCTAATTGGATTTGTGAACAAGTGCAGAGGTCGTGTCAGGACTCCACTGAGAATACATTCCTCTTGGGGACCACTTTATTTTCTGAAATTGGACAGGGTTTTCTCCTTCCCCACCTCCCACCTGATGCCCCACGGTCCTGCAATGCAGATACACACTTTACAGTTCAGTACAATCAAGGCTTGTAACAGACTTTTCCAAAAACATCCTCTTTGCCCATCCCACATCATTTATTTGGTTGTTCTCAGCACCACTGAAACTATCTTCATTTCTCACTGCCTAGTTTCTGTCTTTAATGCAGCCAAGAGGAGCAGATAGTGCCTTTAAGCAATAAACAACACACAAAACAAATAAATAAAATCCTTTTAAAATGCTAATGACATACATACTCTGTTCCAGTGCAGAACTTGGTTATCTACTAAGTAAAAAGCCCTCCATGGAGGGTTGTTGGAGCCTGACTCACCTGCTTGGAGTGCTCTCCTTGCATTACTGAGTAATGGGGGGGAAAGAGCAACAGCCTAAGAGGAATTCCTTTCTCTCCTGTGATCAGAGAGTTCCCAGTGTTCACAACGAAGCAATTCACACTCTCCAGCACAAATAAAGCAAAGAGAAGTTGTATAAACATTTCCTTATCCACCTCCAAAAAGCACAGCCAACTCTGCAATAGTTCAGACAGCCCTGGGAAAGAGGAGAGTCAAGAGCTAGCCACAGGGCTTGCAGGTTTTAATGCCCTATTAAAAGAAGCCCTTCTGGGGCTCCCTACAGACCTTCCAACCTCAGCGGAAAGCAGCTTCATCAGAAAAGTCTCTCCTTACCACAGCTCTCAGCTTCACAGCTGCCCCAGCCTGCACGCCAACAGGCCACAGGGGTTTGTATGGGTTCTCCAGAAACTGCTGCAAGCAAAAAGCCCAAACACTGAACCTGATCCACAATCCCCATCCAAGGGTTGCTGAGAGTTTTACCCCTCCTGACTGAAAACAAGCAGGTGAATACTTGGGTACAGGGGGGATTTTGTTTAGTTACAGAAAGGTTCAGCCAAGTCTTAAAGCCTTATAAAGCCATTCAAGCTGAAAACAAGGTCTGGATTCAGAAACTGAATGCTCCTTCCTCATTATTAAGAAATGTTTTGCAACAGTGATTAGAAAGCCTAAGAATGCTTTTAAAAGTCAGTAATTTTGAGGTCAAAGAGAAGACAAAAAGCTCACTGCTGTGTTGTGGCTCTCTTCCCTGAAGGGGACAGCAAATCTTGGTGACAGGAGATTTGTGGGGAAAAGGTTTCATGTTTTCTATGGAGCAGAACTGTTGCTAAAGCTGTGGAAACTTTCACAGAAAATGAGCCCATGTAGCACCATACTCCACAAGAGCATCCCAAAATGCTTTACAATACAACAGAAGTACATGAGTGTTGTATACCTGTCCAAGGTATATTTTCTGATGCCATGTAGTGGGTTTTTGGTGTTGTTTTTTTTTTTTCCCTTTAAGAAATTACATCCCAGTTAGAATAAAGCAAACCCTTTCTTTTAACTGTTCTTTCCAACGTGTTCTATATATACAACCCTTAAAATACACTTAAAAATAGCTGCACACGTTTTGTTATACTAGAGAAGGGCAGTCCAGACAGATCATCCTTCCCAGTATGTTAAAAATTGTAAATAAAACCCAACCAGACTTGCTCTCCTCCAGTCCCAATGCTGGCCCAAAGGAGGAAAGGGAAGGAACAAGCAGTTTTAAAATGGGAGTCTTTCACAAAACACGCTACCTAAAATCTCAGGTTAATCTCCTCAAGTTTTGTATGGAACCCTTTCTGAAATCTCTGAGGTCACACACTGCCACCTTAGCAATGAAATCTGTTGCAACATGCCTGTGGAAGCTTCCCACTCAACCAACTGCAACCCTGAGGATTTTTCTGGCCTAAGTAGAAAGAGGAAATGTAACACAATTCCTGAAGTATGGCTGGTCCTCCATCTCAAAGCTCCGTGGGATCTCCTCCATGGCTCCTGGACACACACTCACACTTTGTTGTTGTTTGGTTGGTTTGGTTTTGTTTTGTTTTTTCTCCTTTAATACATGTTTCCCTCTAACCAACATGCAGATTCCTCCTCCCCATCATCCACATCTCGATGTCCCAACAAAACCATCTACATCATCCATCCAGAGGCTTTCCCAGGTAGACCAAAGTCACTTCTGTGTTACCATAGACAGCAGACACTGCTGGATACAGGCAAACTTTTGGCAGTCCTCTGAAGGCAACTCCCAAGAACTCATAACCCCTCTCAAAGGCTAACGTTTTGTCTTCCATGTCCAGGATAACTCGAATCCTTTCACCTATCTGGAAACAGAGACAGGAGTGGGGAAGGAGAAAAAAAATACATGGAAAGAGTCAGAGTATTCAAATGGAGACACCAAAATAAAGCCCAGCCCAGCAGGTCATGTTAGAACAAGGCTTTCCTGTTTCTCCTGATTCTATTACCTTTGTGACAGGAATTTCTTGATTTTACTCCAAGGCACATCCTGAGCACCTTCTGCCCATTTCCAGTGGGCAGGCTGTGTCTAACCACTTCCCTGAGAATAAACACAACCCTTTTCACACAGACTTTGTGAGAGCACCAAGAGTGAGCACACTACATGCTTCAGAATACTGCAGTTTTGAAAGCTTTGTAATGGCCTCGAAGTCACCTGGACATGTATTTAGCTGTTGCTGGCACTGAGCAGTACTTGCTCTGGTGAAGAACAATTCTAAAGATAATAACTTGGTTTAGAAAGGCAAGTACCAGATATAAAATATACTGGAATATAAGATAAAAAATATACTGTGCAGGCACTGTTGCTGACAGAGGTATTCCCTCACCAAGGCTGAAGGAAACTTCAGGGCAAAGCTTAGGCAAAATAAGCATGAAAAAAGTGAAACCAACACTGAAGACAGCAGGAGCCTGGGATCTAGGCATGCACACGGTGCTCCCTGCAGTCCATCTAGTTATTTGGGCATAAATAAATCCCCAGGCACCAGCAGCAAGCACAGCAGGACCTTGCACTCCTGATTCCTCACCAACAGCCCCATTGATGGAGATTTCTTCCAGCCAGCACAGTTTTGTTTCAACCAACACGTATGTTCCCTTGGAGTTATGTTTGCTGAGAGCAGATCACTGTGCATGTCTCAACAAACTCCCAAGAATCACCCATTTGAGCTCTCAGGAAGTTTTAGAGAAAGCAGTGACTGCGTTCATCCTCCAGTCCCCACGTGAGCTGGGGACTCTCAGCTTTAAAACTTTTCCTCACCCTTCAGAAAGGCCTAGACAAGGACAGCAGAAAGGGACCACCAAGCCTGGAAAGTGCCAAACCAATCTGCATGCTAGGGAATGTGCAAACGGCAAGAGATTTGAATCTCTTTAATGAGACAAATTTTTAGGTATTATTCCCCAAACTGGCAGGTATCATAACCTTCAGACAGAATGAAGTGCTTAGTGGTGAACTTTACATGAAATTCAGGAGTATCAGATGCAAGGTACCACACAGATCTTCACCCACAACTAAAACCCAACATAAGCCCATACTTGTACAAGGCCACAGCATTACAAGATAAAAATTATAACACAATTAGCTTAAAAGTTATAAGGACATCCAGCAGTCAAAACGTAGTCACGTGAGCAGCCAGAAGAACAAATAGAAACACTTTTATAAGGACAAAAAGGTGGAATGGCACCTTCTCTTCAATAACCTGAGGCAGGTTTTTGCAGGAAGACTTACCTAAGCACTGACCTCAACTCGTGCTGCCATACAAGGACTAAAATGTCACAGAGATTCAGCTTGCCACGGGGCCAGTCACTACTTTGGAAGGCTACAACAGCCTCGCCAGCAACACGGTGTCTAAACAGACCCAGTGCTCGGTGCTGGTACCTGAGCCTCAATATTTGAGATAAAACAACTCAATGTTTGAGATAGAGGTGTGGAAACAACTGAGGGTCAGCTGCACTGAACCCCCCTCACAGGCACAGAGGTTAACGAAGCAGGAAAGGCCTCTCAAGTGGCATCACTCGTTTTCTGCAGGGGAGGGAGGCACAGATGCCCTTCAGTGGGCATTTAGGACCCATTCAGCAGGCAGCCAGGGCACCCTAGTGAGGAGCCAGCCCTGCTCAGACACCCGGACGCTTCCAGCCTGTGCCAAGCCCCTCTTCTCACCTGATATTTGGGCGCGTTATTGCACTGGGGGAAACTGCCGTTCACCTCTCCGTTATGCAGCAAGTTATTGTCCACCAGGTTCCAGCCCCAACTCTGGTCGTCGCTCCCGAGCAGGGCCACGTAACCCTGGCACTGCATGGCCGCCCGCTTCGTGGCGATGCCGATAACGGCCACGGTGCCCAGCGGGCCCTCCCACCACACCTCCCAGGCGTGGCGGCCCTCGCTGAAGCCGATCTTGGTCCGCGCCCCATCCGTGCTCTGGGCGATGGGGTTGCGGTGCAGCGTGAAGCCGTTCTTCTTGATGTAGACGTTCCGCGAGCAGTCGTTGGTGCTGAAGGCATGGTGGAAGGCACGGACCTAGGGCGGGGGGAGATAAAACCCTGTGGCGTTTTCCAGGCCCACGCCGCCCCGCTTCCCGACGGCGGGCGGGCCCAGCGGTTGCGGGG